GCTGCTGGTGTGACCTTGGGTCAGTCAGGAGTTCTTTCAGAGCTGTTCTCTCAGGAGCAGTCCTCGAGAGAGCTCTCTCAGCCCCACCTACCTCACAGGGTGTCTATGGTGGGGAGGGGAAGGGAAAAGAGATTGGAAGCTGCTCTGAGACTCTGAGTGAAGGGCGGGGTATAAATCCAACTCTTCTTCCTCTTCTTCTATTATTAATGAGCAATAACTGTCAGTTATTAACCAGTTATTATTATTGTTGTTGTTATTGTTATTATTATTATTGTTATTATTAATAATAATAATAGGAACAATTGATTAATAGCACCATGAGTTGGCCATCACCTGATGGTGAACTATTATTATAGTTGTTGTTGTCTGGAAGAGCATAATTCAGAAGTTCCCAGTTGGAATGCAGCACCTACTAGGAAGCTTTAGACAAGACATGCAATTAGCCTCATATAAGCAACATCTTATCAGCCTACCTCATAAGATTGCTGTGAAAGTTTACACAATAATACTTTGAACGCTGAATGCGCTCTCGAATTGCTAAGCATTTGTTGCTTCTAGGTCTGCAGCATTCAACAGAGTAGATTAATCAGTTTAAAACTTTCTGATTGTCCACAAACCTCTGAATCATCAGGAAGCAGTTTCTAAAACTTGTATTATTATTATTTTAATACAAAAGGGCCCCTAAAATAAGGCTTCCCTCCTAGGTGTTTAGGAGCTACAGTGGCTCAAGTGGTTAAGACGCTGAACTGCAGGCTGTGGAAGGTTGGTAGCTCAGCAGTTCGAGACCCGAGTGTGCCGCATGACGGAGTGAGCTCCCGTCTCTAGTTCCAGCTCCTGCCAACCTAGCTGTTCGAAAGCAAGAAATTGCAAGTAGATAAATAGGTACCACTTCGGTGGGAAGGGAACAGCGTTCCGTGCGCCTTGGTGTTTAGTCATGCCGGCCACATGACCACAAAAACGTCTTTGGACAGCGCTGGCTCTTCGGCTTTGAAACGGAGATGAGCACCGCGACCCTAGAGTCAGACTCAACTGGCTTTCGAGCAAGGGAACCTTTACCTTTACTTACCTAGGTGTTTGGTGTAGTGGTTAAGTGCGCGGACTCTGATCTGGGAGAACCAGGTTTGATTCCCCACTCCTCCACTTGCACCTGCTGGATGGCCTTGGGCAAGCTGTAGTTCTGGCACAGCTGTTCTTGAAAAAGAGCAATTTCTGTCAGAGCTCTCTCAGCGTCACCTACCTCACGGGGTGTTTGTCTGTTGTGGGGAGGGGAAGGGAAAGGAGTTTGTAAGCCGCTCTGAGACACCTTCGGGTAGTGAAGGGCAGGGTGTAAATCCAATCTCTCCTTCTTCTTCTAGGTGTGAGAGACTAAAGGAATGCCTCAGTGGATAGATCTGCTAGAAGATTGGTGTCGTGGTGAAGTGTGTGGACTTTAATCTGGGAGAACTGGGTTTGATTCCCCACTCCTCCACTTGCAGCTACTGGATGACCTTGGGCAAGCCATAGTTCTGTCAGAGCTGTTCCGTCAAGTTCAGTTCTCTCAGAGCTCTCTCAGCCCCACCTACCTCACAGGGTGTCTGTGGTGGGGAGGGGAAGGGAAAGGAGTTCGTAAGCTACTCTGAGACTCTGAGTGAAGGGTCGGGTATAAATCCAGTCTCTTCTTCTCCTTTCCATTCTTTTATTACAATGACTTTTGTCATATCCAAATGTATGCACCCGATGAATCAGCTAGTTTGTATGATTAATCAGCTAAACTGGGCAAGAGCCCTACTTGTTATTAGTTCACACCAGGGCTTTTTTTTTTTTTTAAGAGGTGCCGGAACTTTCAAGAGGGAAATGAAGTTTTCAATCTTCATACTGAAAACTCATGAACTTTTAAACATTTTAAAAATAATTTTGTTGAAGAGGTTCTGGAACTTCATTCTGCCGTGTTCCCCCAGGGAAAAAGCCCTGGTTCTCACAATACTACGAACAGGAGCTTTCAGTGTAAAGCTGACCACCATGAAGTCAGCCTACAACCAAGAGACTGGTAGAAGCATGCAGGAAAAAGGAAAAATGACATTGATTAAGAGCAGGGGTGTTGAACTTATTTTTTATGAGGGTCAGATCTGACATAAATGAGATCTCATTGGGCCGGACCGTGTGTGTCATAAAATGTAATGCCAAGTAGCAGAGATATAAACTTTATAAAGGACACAGAAAAACACAATTAAAGAGTTTTACACTTTAAGTAAAACATGCTTAAAACACTCGCACTCTTGCAATATTTTGTCTGTTTAACAAGTGTCTGATAACTGTCACCTCTTGCTCTGATTTATTGCATCAAAATGTGTGTGCTGTAAGCAGTCTTGAGTATGCTGTTGTGTGTATCTGTAAGCTGCAAACTTACTTTTGATTTATTGACATTCATTACAAAAATCTCATGCTCAGTGTTCTGAGCCTAGGACCCAGGGGAAAATATGAAAGGGCTGGACATTGCGAGCTTTTGTACATCAGTTGCTTCATGTGCTGGTCAAGAACATGAGAAGGCATCCTGACACAGAGTGAGGGACATGTGTTTGTCTACGAAACTATAGTCTTCCCGAGAGAAATAACTACAGCTTTCCTACAAAGGAAATGTACTGGATGAACTTGGTCTGGACACACACTCTCAGTCTAATCCACCTCACTGGCTTGTTGTTATTCCTCCTCTAAAATAGTTCACATTGCTTTCTTACTGAGAAAGACTGGATCATGGGGGCATGAATACAGTGAAAAGGGGGAGGGAACCCAGTTGCACCCAGGAGAGCCCAACAAAACACACACACCTTACTTCAATAAAAGATCTAAAATTTGAAAACACACACAGCATAAAGAGCCCAACAAAACACACACACACTGTAGCAAGGCACACAAAAGCTCATACCTTGAACAAAACGTTGTTGGTCTTAAAGGTGCCTGGTATTTCTCCTGTGCGATTGAGGCAGCCCAGCATAGCAAGCTCTCCCTCGTTCCTTCCCTCCCTTCCTTCAGGGAGGAGCCTCAGCCAGTGGAAGGGAAGAAAGGCTTCCCTTTGTCTCCTGTAGGACTGAGGCAGCCTGGCCTGTAAGCAAGCTCTGGCTTGTTTCCTCCCTCCCCCTGGGGGAGGGGGAGGAGCCTCCGCTAGTGCTTTATCAGACTCTCTCAATCACACAGGATCTCTCTTGGGTTACTGAGAGAATCTGGTAAAGCAAGCTGTAATGTGGCGGCAGCAGAAGAACTGGAAAAGGAAGCAGAAAACAGCCAGGTCCTTGCAGGTCGGATTGAAGCCTTCCGAGGGCCTCACCCGGCCCACGGGCCGCATGTTTGACACCCCTGATTTAGAGGGTTTGAAAAGCAAGTTTCAGCCTCCGCCCCCCCCTTCCCCAATAAGGCCACACCAAATTGTCCTGAATAAATGAGCACAAGCCTGTGAGTTCCCCAGAATGCTTCATGGGAAAGAAAGTTTGACACCAAGAAACAAAATGGTGGAAGCCCTGCAGGACTGGATGAGGTGGGGCAGGAGTTTAAAGGATACACCAGATACATTTTATACACATAGATACACCTGTACATATATCCTCCTTGAGTCCCAGCAAGAAAGTTGAGCTATAAACAGGTTTGCCAACCTCCAGTTGGTTGCTGGAGATCTCCTGGATTTCAACTGATCTCCAGATGACAGAGATCAGTTTTCACTGGAGAAATCAGCGGCTTTGGAGGATGGACTGTATTGGTTTTTTTGGGGGGGGACCCGCAGATCTGTGCAGGAAGGAAGGAAGGAAGGAGGGAGGGAGGGAAAAAAGAGAAGGAAAGGAGGAGGGAAAG